TAGCTGTCACGGAGGTTGGAGGAAACTATTGGAAAAGACCAGATGTGATACTATTCATTCTTGTAATTGTTGATTGGAACACATAACTTTTTACGCGTCTGGGACACAATATTGGTTTGGAGTGCATAGTTTCGTTCATATTTCGCGTTAAATTGGTAAATGGGTTGGTTGGAGTAGAGAGTGTTTTATTAGGCAATATAGTAATCATAGATGAATTAATCGTCGTTTAGGCATGCATATAAGATCTTGGTGACGTATAAACTAGACAATCAATAACTGGTGACCCAATAATTTATAAAAAGTGTTTTTTATAGCAGTCGTTAGTAGTATATAATGTTTAAGAGCCTACTACATCGTAAATATTCGGTTCGCAAATCAGTTAAGGGAGGATTTTTTAGCTCCTTCGTGGCTTATAGGGATGAAAAGTGCGGAACGCGTCATTAATCACTTTTAACAATTTGTTGTCTAAGTCATACTCGTTTATGCTCTATATGAGGACGAAATGGAAGATTGCCAGGGTTGTTGAAATAATGTGAATAAATAAGAAATATATCGTTATTCAAGGCTCTGAGAAAGCAGAGTTATCTATTTCATCAGTCCTGTCACTTCATTGTGTAATCAGTTCATATTATAGAAATTGAGGTAAACTGAGGCATTATATTTTGATAGCATATTAAACAAACCTTCTATTCACACAGATATTATCGATAGTACATATGTACTCTAATGAGTATTTGACTATCGAAGAGGTAATTCATGCGCGCTTATATCATTTTGTCAACCTAATGCTGGTACACAATATAGATCGTAGCTCGTTTAAATTTAACTAATTTTTCATATAAATATAGTATATGGTATACCTTTCTATAAGCAGAATAATCCTTCTTCATCATAAATTTAATGAAATTGGTTAGAGCTTGAGGCGAGATCTCCTCTATATGCTGCAGCGCTGTTTTGGTGCAGTATGATGAATCCAGCTTCACCCTGTACTGGAACAGATACATTATAATAGAAACAAAATTTACTATATTACCAAAGAGAGAGAGAGCAAAATATAGATTGAGTCCAGTATATAATCATTAGCTCTGTTAGTGATTAAGGTACATATTATTATCGAATTGCTATTGTTTTCAGGCTGACTCTTCCGCGTGTACACAACCAAACGTATGTTATTTTAAATGTAAAACATCTACTATAAAATTACAAGTTTATTGTCTTAAGAACTCTTACAAAAATAAATGTTTGCTTTGTAGTCACACAAATAATGTTATTGACCTCCGACATAATACACAATTTGGCCAAATAATAAATTTTGTTTCCTGGAGCCTCTAGGGTCCTTCAAAAAGACATTTTATCTGTCATGCTCGATTATCGACCATATCATGTTTTCCTGACAAATTTCTCGAAATACATATTTTATGAGTAAAGATTGTGCATACAGGTTTTTTGTGTTTTGAATTATGAAAATTAATCATGTGATTGTGCTATGTGACAGTTTGTATTTGGAAAGTACTATGGATTGTCTGTTTAGTAGTCCCATAGCGCGATCCAAACAGGCTCAACGTGTTTTGGTCTAGGAAACGTCCCAACATTGTAGAGAAAAAAAAGAACAGTCGTCTTCTTTGATAAAAGCTGTAAAAAATTACTTTGTTTCAAATATTTGCCCTATATTTCTTGTTGATGCTGATCATATTGTCGAAACGAAAAAATAAAGAATTGCTGGCTCGGCTGCCTTTGTTTGGACATTTTTTGATGAGCTCAATTGTTATACTGTAACATTGTATGCTCTGAATAAAAGGCACAGTGGCGTAAGTTAAATCTAATACAAGGTGGATGTCACACCTGTTTTTGATGGAGACGAATGTCAAGTTTTACATATAGCTCCATAAATAAATAAGTCAAAAGAATGCGGCTTTGAAGAAA